GTACTTGGTTTATGCAAATGTAGTTCTAAATGCAGCTTTGCAGTCTCTTTTTTATTTATTTTCAGTGGAAGGAAATTCTCACTTCTAATTCCACTATTTTAATTCTGAAATATACAGATACATATAAACCAAGCCTTGCTTTTTATGAATGATTTTTTTACATTAGCATTTCTTTAAATTGTTTTGTTTCTCCAGCATAGCCCCCTAATCATCCCATGTAGAAGAATGACCGGTGAGAAACTGTTACTGCCAATGATACTAATGTCTGTAGTGATGAGTTTATTACCAATGCAGACATCATATGGACAACACTTGCCAGAGGAGTCTTGCACTGTTCAGATCCTTGTCCCTGGACTCAAAGGCATGTAGCTCTTTGTTCTTTCTTACAAAATGCATACCAGACACCTTAAAAACCAAGAATAGACTCTATCTGATATAATAATTGTTTTTCTTCTGCTCTAAAAGGAGAACCCGGAGAAAAAGGACAAAAGGGAGCACCTGGGAGACCAGGAAGAGTTGGTCCGCCAGGGGAGACTGGTATATTTTATGCAGTTGCACCAAAAAAATATATTATAGAATGTGTTTGTTTGTTTTGTGAGTAAAAGTGCATTCCCCTAAAATGCAAATCTTTAAAGAGAGAATATTTTCCACATGCCCACATTTATAGATCTCCTCATTTTCTCATTACTACCACTAATACAAGAAAAACTGGGGTAAAGATCACATTTCTCGGGCTGATAATGTGCCGTTACATCACTACCAGGCCATCCAGAAATGGTCAAGTGTTTATATTAGGGTAAGAGGTCAAATGAGAAATGGTTTGTGGAATCCAGAGCTGTGGACAAGTGTTTATGGAAGACCTTAATGAGGAGTGAAGGGTGTTCTCTGAAGCATAGTCATCATTTTAATTAATTAACCTTTAGTGAAAGTAAAGATTTATTGTTTAATATATATAATTTTGCTTTCATTTGTGCTGTTTTAAGTTTGTCTTGACTATAAGATATACAGTATGTCTCTATCTTCATATGAACAATTTACTCATGTTGCATTCTTTTTAGGTCCACCTGGGGTCAAAGGACACAAAGGCATTATGGGACGTTATGGAAAAGTTGGCCCAAGTGGAATGAAAGGTGCTATAAGAAGCAGAGATGTACTGTCTGCACACTTTTTCAGGAATGCATCAATTATTTGTTTAGTGTGTTTTTATGATTGATAAATATTTACATCTCTGACGCAGGATCCAAGGGAGATCCAGGTGACCCTGGTACAAGGGGCCCAGACGGAGAGCCAGGTGGGTTCTAAAACCATCTTATTTTGTTTGTCAAACAGATGGCAGCAGGATTAGACAGACACATCTGTAAATGAATAAAGTCAACTTTGTGATAGTCCCACACATTTTTGTCTTATCAGGGGTTCCCTGTGAGTGTGCGCCAATTAGAAGGATGATTGGAGAAATGGACATTCTTGTGGCTCAGCTTTCCTCAGAACTAAAATTCATTAAAAATGGTAAAAGATTTGCAGTCTTTAAAAATGCTTTTGTATTTTAAAAAAAAATATTTATCAGTTTTGGTATTTTGCTGATTTCCTGTCCTATAGAATTGAAAATGCGGGCATGTCAATGTGAAATTTATAGAAATACAAGTGCTCATTTTTCAGCACTGCCCTCCCCTGCAGCTGTTGCTGGCATTAAGGAAACAGACAGTAAAGTCTATCTGTTGGTGAAGGAAGCGAAGCGCTACACCGAGGCTGAGGGCTACTGCCAGACGAGGGGAGGGCACCTGGTCATGCCGAAGGATGAGGGAGCAAACGCAGCCATCGCAGGGTATATAACCGACGCTGGCCTGAGCAGAGTTTACATTGGCATTCATGACCTCGAGCGCGAAGGTGTTTTCACCTACGTAGATCACTCTCCCATGACCACTTTCAGCAAATGGAGAAAAGGAGAACCCAACAATGCCTATGATGATGAGGACTGTGCTGAGATGGTGACCTCTGGGGAGTGGACTGATGTGGCGTGCCACCCGACAATGTATTTTGTTTGTGAATTTGACAAGGACAACATCTGAGGCCAGTATATGTTAAACAGACTGCAGACTGGACAAATGTAATGGAGCAAAAACTGTAATCTTATTATTTTGCTGTATCCTCTATCTGTAAATATGAATACGAAATGATACGCAAGTTGTGCAAAGTAGTATACTTTCAACTTCCTTTTTGCTTATGAGCTAATAAGCTATTTATTTTCTGAACATACAAAATATCCAAATGTTTGTAAATTTTTTTTTTACGTCCTTGATACATACTGAAATAAATTAGTGTTTCCAAAAGCATGCCAGGAACTGAGTTTTTATTTAATTCAGAAAATCCACTGAGCAATATTTGTAGCAGTACGATAGACAAACAGTGTAAATAAGCAAATATAGAGAGCTGTGGATTGTGTAGAAAAAAAAATACAATTAAAAGACATTCCAGTTGAGTGAATTTAATCAGATGAACAGAATACAGCATGCATTCCACATTCATGTGCTGTGCAATAAACATTTATACATAGTTTAAAAATAATTTTTTTGCACATTAGTTTTTGCTCTTGAACTAGTTGCGCTTATTTACTGCAGCAGTTAAAGCAAACTTATGGAAGAAATATACGATAAATGATGCAACACAAAGCTGCAGGAGTTAACACTACTACCTCACAGAAACAAGGTTCTCGGTTTGAATCCACTGGCTGGCTTCTGTGTGCAGAAGTTGGGCTCTTGGTGTCCAGGCTTCCTCCCACAGTCCAACGACGTGCATGCTAGTTTAACTGCTGGTTCTGAATTGGTCAGATGTGAGTGTGAACAGCTATTTGTCTCTGTGAGTTAGCCCGTCAATAGACTGGCGACCATGAACATGTATACATGCATGTCGCAAAATACTTATATGGCTTACATTATGTTTTAATCATTAAAGTGACCCATTTTATATTATTGTAAAATAACAAAATAATTACTTTTCTGTTGTAATTTCCACATGGACCATCGCCACCCAGTGGGCGAAAGCTCATCTTACAGCAAAAATCCCTTACAGGGGACTGAAGTCAGTGGCTGCTCCACATTTTATCTGTTATGTTAAGGAAAGCACAGGTGTTACAAAAAACAATAACTGTCATGCTAAAAGTGCAGAAGCCAGGAAATTCATTAATTTTAATGTTTACAGTTGTTCTTCTATTAGGTTGATTTTAGGCTGTTCTGTAGCACTGCATAAATACCAAGCAGTAATTGGTATATGTGCTAAATATGTTAAACATGAATCATATCAAAGTCAAATCATTGCGACAATGTCCTTCTGAAGTATGCAAACATCCTAACGAGTGAACACGGTAAGGTTCTCATGTATTATCCAGCGAGCAATGCAATTACACCGGAGTCACCTTACATCTTTATAACATTCACTCTGCACCTTAGTGTGCTGTAATAAATGGGAGTTTTAAAATGGATGGCACTGACCTTTAAGAGCGCCAAAGGAAACTCACCCACTGCTTCCCCTTGATTCCTGACATGACATATCACACTTTGGCTAAGCACAATTTGAATCACAGTTACCCTACGACATGTATCCTGGCTAAGAACTGATAAGAACTAATTGCTGGAGACTTTTATGACTTTGCATAAAATTCTGAAAACCATTTGATGCAGTGTCTAAAACCTGATCACATACTAAGCACATTGACATATTCTCGATTTGTAGTGTTAAATTAATGCTGTCAGTTTTTTTTTATATAAAAATAATTTGCCACCTAAAGTTTAAAATAAAAATAACAGATTACACATGACAATAATATGACAGCCTATTGTTTGCTGAATGACAGAAACAAGATATAACATACCTTAGATTAGTTTGACATTTTCATCTTTGAAAATCCTCCAACGGTTTGGTTGTGTGACTAATAGGAGATGTCTTGCGGCCCTGGCAGCTATTGTTTTAGGATGGGTGTCCCAGCTGAGATGATATCCTATTGCATCCCTCTAAGAAGAGGAATTTGAATATGCATGATGCATTTCTCCTAATAAAGCAGAACACCAGTCCCTTAAGAAATGAATAATTAATGCTGAGATGAATTATGTATTTAATTGACCAGGAGTTGTCCGCCATAAACCAATTAAGTGCCATTGTTGCAGCAATCTCTGGTTACCTTTGTAGTAAACAGTTTGGACAGCTCTGTCTAAAAGTGAAGGGGCTGCAGTCACTCTGCTACAGTTGTAATATACAATAGGAGTCTGTCAAAAATTTGAATGGGATACATGTTTTCTTCAAAAAAGAATACACTTCTTTGGCTTTCTATTATATTTATTATGTGTAGATTTCATTATTTTCAACATTTACATATGTTATGAGTGTATATAAATAAACACTGAGAGAAGATTGGAGTCAAACAGTAAATGTGTTTTATATTAGCGGATTAAACCTGGGAAAAAACTGCATCCCAAAAGGATGTACAGTGCTTAAAAAAGTTATTATGCATGCGAAAGTATCCTTGGGCAAGATTCCGAACCCGCAGTTACTCCCATTTATAATATGCCATAAACGTAAGAAAAAAAGGGGGAAAATAGAAATGTGTTGAAAACACGTTTAAAGCTAAAAAGTACTGAATTGAATTCACCATAACATTTCTGTCTGTTCAGGAATGAAAGTAAATAACAGCAATTTGGGATCTAAAAAATGAAGATAATAACAATAATAAAAAATAAACGACATATGCTTTGTTACAGCGTACTTTACATTGGGTAGTGGCCTAATAAATTTATTAAGCAATGAAATTCACCGCTGTGTTCTGTCAATTAGTTTCTCGTTAAATACCATGAGATTGAATCAGCCAGCTGGTAATGAAAATTAAAAATGAGTTTGTTTGTTTTTTAATACAGACCTATGAGCGGTTTAGCTAAATATGTAAAACCCACTGGGGTCACCCCACTGGTTGCCTTGGTAGCACCAGAGGTTTGGTATCGAACACTAAATTAACCTTAGCTACACAATAGAAGACACGACGAAGACGTGGATACGTATCTTAATACTACACCTCTCATGTGGAAGAACTGAGAAGCTGTCTCCAGTTACGTCTCCGGAGGCCAACAGAGCTGACACATTAACTTCTGACACCAAGGGCCACCGCTGTTTGTTGTTTGAAATCGTTCCCATTAGCTAACACAAGTATGCCCAGCACAACAGGGAGAAGTGACTTGCCACCCACAAAAATAATCGTCGTCTACAGGAACGGAGATGCCTATTTTCCCGGCAGGAAAGTAGTTGTGAATCCGCGGTACGTGCCATACTTTGACAACTTTTTGACATCTCTGACCAAAGGGATTGAAGCACCTTTTGGCGCTGTGAGGAGGCTCTACACCGCCACACAAGGCCACCAAGTTCACCATCTGGATGACCTTCAGCACGGGAGTGAGTATGTCGCGGCCGGAAATGAGGCGTTCAAGAAACTGAAGTAAGTGTCATGTTTTAGGGGTGTCCTGTCTGAGTTTACTTGTATATACTGGAATCTACAGGTTTTTTCTTTAGCTTCATTTGTTGGCAAGGGGATTTGACTAGGCTGGTACTTAATATTCATTAAAACGCTCTGAATATGTCAGCTTATCTTAAATAAAGTCTAATCTGTCTTTAAATGTGATCTTTTGGACCCAGTATTTTAGTCTAGTCAGCAGAGCACTGATCTTGAGCATACTTTTACATATATAACTATTTGATTTCAATTAGTTTTATCAGATCTAAAGATGCCTTACTCCCACATCCTTGCATAAGTTTCCTTGTACCTAAAGGTAATTTGATTTTTTTATTGCCTTCAAGTTATTGTGAAATAGCAGCCAAGAAGCCACAGAATAAGAAAAAAGAACAGGTAGGAGCAATGTTTTGTGTGTGTGGTCAGTTATAGTGAAACTTTTTTCATGTGTCCTTGTTTTAAGTTTAACCATTCTGCCTGAATGCTGATGACATCCTTAAAATCTAAGTTGCTCATGAAGGTCCTGTCGAGACACATAAGATTAGATTTTGAGTGACGTGCTGAAAAAAAACCCCCCACTCAGTTCCTCCTTTATGAAATTTTCAGATCCAACCTGTTGTTCACAGCAGGATAGTAGTTTCTGCCCGCTGGAAGAGAACTGCTGATGAGTCTTGCACAATAAAGTGAGTATTGATTTTAAACTGCATACATATTTTTCCACGGTGTTAAAAGAATAATGTTCTCTGCCGTGCTGTGCAATGCAAGAAACAATTCCATTTATTTATTCATGGATCTTTGTGTGTCGTGTTTTGTTTCATAGTGTCTTCACCAACGGAGAAGTGCTGGTTCCTCCGGCTCGAATACGGATCCCAAAGTATACCCTTAGAAGCTGGGAAAACGTTTTAGCTATGGTGACAGAGAAAGTGCGTCTTCGCACGGGTGCTGTTTTCAGGTAATGTCAGGACATTTAGTCATACATCATTTTTAAACTAGTTAACTGGAGTATCAGTGAAGGTTGTTTTCCTCTTGCCTTCTAATTTAGAACGTAATGTGATTAGTGGACACTTTACAGTCAATTTAAATGCAGAAAAATGATACTTGGGAAGGAGAGTAGAGGGACTTTTGCAATTAATTAGAGATCGAGACCATGTGTGGTTGTGATGTATTCAATAGATTTCATTCAGGCAAAGACGTAGCTGAAACTATCACTAAACATTACTGCAGTGAGTTGTTTTTCTTTATTTGAGCTTTCAGGCTTTGCACATTAAATGGACACCCTGTCTCCGGTCCCACTGAACTGGAGAACAACCACTACTATGTTGCAGTCGGTTCAGAAAAGTTTAAGGCTCTCCCATATTACCAGTGTGTCCCCAGGAGGGATTTGCTTAGGGAAAATAACATGACTGAAGGGTACGAGATGTGATCTTTCATGGCTTTTTCTATATGTCCAGAATAAACACTGGATTTGATTTTATTTCGATAAAGAAAGCAAAAATGTGTTTGTCAGTATTGTTTTTCCTTTTCTTCCCTGCAGCCAAGGCATCCTGCCCAGTACCAAAATCAAAAGATGTGCAAAGAATGTGGTGAGTGTTGATGCACTTTGCCATCTGGTCCTTCACGTTCTCCTAACGTGCTAAATTGGTACCCTTTTCCCCCTGAACTCCCTCCGGGTCATTGTTGTAACACTTTGTTAGACTCACAGTTGAAAAGCGTATCTTTGCACACACAGCATTTCAATTAACATTTCCCACGTGTGAGACTTGTTGTGGGGGCGCAATTCGTTATGAAACACCACTATCATCAATCACTGTCTGCAGGAGGCATTGAGTTACCGTTGCTTTCCAGTTTGATGGGTAATTCCCACAGAGACAGGCTGGCCCACTTGATCAAGTGCAGTGAGCCTCATAGACAGATCATATGCACAAGGGGGACTTCGTTTACAGCAAACTAAAAGAAAAAGAAATCTCTTATTCAAACAAGAGCTGGGACTATTTGTATTGTGATTAAGTTGACAGTGAAATGCTGCGAACCCATACGGGGATTGCGCTGCTGTGGGCCCGAGATGAACACCAAATCACGTGATGAAGATGAGAACATGCCCACTCAGCAGGTCTAGGTAGAGATGGGCCCCACTGTGACAAATGTGCCTGACATGTGATTTTTATAACCATGAAAGATGACAGTGCTCTGGCAGATGTCAATTTTTGTTAGATATAGAAAAATGTCCCTTGCTTTATCTCCAGCTTTATCTGCATTGGATTGCCTTTGAATTTAGAAATAATTTGAATATTTATTAGTTATATATAAAAGATCTCTTCATTATATTAACAGCTATGCAGCCATAAAGCAGTAGATGAAAATTACATTGTTACGCAACTTTGCTTATCTGATACATTAGCTAATAAGACACAACAACCACAACTTTTGCCATTTCACTTAGTACCATGAGGTGGAGACAGAGACAGAGCTATGCCTGTGTTTTGCATCCTTCGTTTCAGTGTAATGTTAGTCATTCACTAGACATGAGGCTGCCACATTTTACTTTCCTCGCCTCTGTGTCTGATCCCTCATGAATTTGTAAACATGATCTGACCAGTTAATAAGGGCCTTTCAGAGGGGGAGATATGCAAGTGACAAAAAATTACCCAATCTGTCTTGATCTGTCAGCTGTTTAGCTTACTGATTACACATACATTTATAGGGTCGTGTCCATCATTAATTTCAGTTTGACCTCACAAAACAACAGCAGTCTGATTTGAAACGCCCGTAAAAAAAGACCCTTTAAACATGCCCACTGAGGTTGTGTAAAATGTAACCTTGCTCTGCACGGGAGCCGTGTCTGTCCTGTCCGCACCGGCGGCGGACCCGTTTCTGCACTGCTGGACGGGACATCTGGTGTGGAGCAACCACCGACTAAACTGACAGCTCTGCAGAGTGTAATAATGAAACTCTCCAGCACATCGTGTTCCCATTGGAAGCAAGCATGCTGTATATGCTGAGTTAAGTGTTTTACAGACATGATGAGGTAGAAACTTTTGAGGTAGACATAGCATAAAGAGAAGATTAATAGGGGAGAGAGGAATACAAAGAGACAAAGCGAAAAAGAGAACAACGGCGTGCATCGTGCAGTACACTTAGTTATTATGGCAATCGTTATTATGGCAGTTAAGCAGTGCTTTATATGTGCTCCACATAAAGAAAAAAAAAAAGCCCAGAAAGGCTGACTAAACCTTTAATATCTGTGCTTTCTGACATCATTGATGATTTGCTGCTTCTCCTCGTTTCCTCTGTTTCCCATGTATGAGCTCATTGGTTAGGGGAAATAGCAATGCCCCGAGGAAGACTTTACCCCCTCGCTGCTGCCAGTGTGTCTACTCACTGAGGACTCGGCCCTGGGAGTGGCTCAGACTGATATCACAGTCAGTATGGCTGGAGGCTGGTCAGTCCAATTGTTTAGGACCCCCTTTTTTCCCCTGGCTATCATATCACCGTGTCCTCTTGTTGACTCCAGTTTTTGGCCACACGAGAGAGCCACAGATTACTTGCTGTCCAGCCCTCCTGAGCCCCCTTCACACTAACTCTAGCACTCTCTTTGTCTTTCTCTCTCTCTGTCTCTGGAGCCTGATGACACACACAGTTGTCTGCTCCCGCAGGACCTGGTACTGTAGATATGTAATGCAGACCGAGAGGCTATACTGTATGACCTCAGCTTTTCCACTGCCATGTCTCTACTTCTGCTGCTGCTTGTTTTTGCAATCTTCCGGCTCCTTCAGCAACCCTCGTCCTCTGCTTTCTCCTCCCCTGTGCCCTGCTTGCCACTCTCCCTGAGCGAGACAGCTTTGGATTGAGCTCGGTTTATTTAAATACCATCTATTTACATCTCACCGCAAGCAAGAAAACAAGCTGCTCAATATTTGATGGGCCAGATAGAGTTTGATTTAAAACTTTATCGCAAAGTTGTTTCACATCACTCGCAGATGAACCGAGGTTACAGGAGCTGAATTAGCAGCTTATCACCGCGACGGTGCCACTGCTCCTTTGTCTTTGATCTCATGCGGCCGCGGACACCGCCGCGCTAGAACATGAACTCTCTTTCAACTCTCCTCCTCTGAATATAGCAGACAAACTTCACACTTCTTTTGTTCTTTTACTTTTTTTTTCCTCCCTCAGCCCACTAACGGCTGTATAAATTCAAAAGAATATCAACAGACTTTGCCTCTGCATTAAAGTAAGCAAACAAGTGCAGAAACAACGCCGCTATTCCCCGGACTCCATGTTAGTGAGCTTGCAAACACCACTGCCAGAAGTGTATTCTGGTGGAAGCCCGAGATCACTACACTATCCCCCGAGCCAGCCCAGGGATCCTGCAGTAAAGAGCACTGTAGCTGAAAAGTCACATTAAGTCAGCTCTCTCTCTCGATCTCTATGTCTGTGTCTCTCATTCTCTGTAAGGGAGACATACCTCACCTTGCTACCTGCGGAGGGGATGAGGAGCCTGCGAGGAGAAAATTGCCTTTTGTGGAAGCATTAATTCAGATGTGTACCCTGCTGTCTGAACATCACTGAACTCTCCCCACTGCTCTCTCTCTCTCTTCTCTTCCTCTCTCACTCCTTTGCTCTCCCACCATGCAACTGAGTCCCAAACCTTTTTTTTCCTCCCCTCCCCATCAATAACCTTCTGCTGTCTGCTGCTGAAGAATAAGTTATTCCCTACGACTCCCTCCCTTTCCCTTTAAGCTTGTTTGGATTTTCATTGTTTGATCTGGGTTGATAAATAAGACAAATGCAGTTAGAAATTCATGGCTGCCCTATTTCATCAATAAATGATTAGTTTGCCACGCTCCCTAGTGATTGATAGGTTGTGCACGGGATGTATTGGAACCAGATGAATTCAATACAGTAGGAGTCAGCGGGGAGTTACAAAACATATCAGCTCATGAAAAATTGAGGTCAATGGAAAATGTAAAAAAGCTGCTGAAAAAAGAGGAGAAACAAGCCTTCCTGTCTTGTTTTCTTGTTTTACTTCTTCCTCTTTACAAAATGAGCGATAAGTCAATGATGAATCACAGACCGAATGTGAGGACATATACCTTAATCCGGGCCTCTCTGCTCTCCTCTCTTTTGTACCTCCATGTGGTTTGCTCAGACAAGCTCTGGAGAAGACCTTGAGCACACAGCCAGGGGCCAGACAAAGAAACTCACAGCCAAGGCAGAGAGAACCAAACAACAAGGGCAGGTGTCCAAGAACCCAGTTCTCTTCCCCCCAGTGGGTAAGCAGAGCACTATAGAAATATTGTCTTTACTGCCTCGCTCTCTAGCCCCTCTGTCCGCAGAGTTTTTGTTTTCTTTCTTTTTTGTTGTTGTTGTTGTTCTTCAACACTTTCTTCTTCGCTATGATGACAGAAAGAAACCTGTTGGATTTTGAAGACCATCTATGCGCTTTGTGTAAAGCATGTTTGTGTTTGCAACTGTACATTTGTAAGTCTTCTGTGTGTGTAAGTAAAGAGATGTAACTCCTAGTCTGTGCTGATAATGCAGAAAATCTGCCATTTGGCAGGTGAAGGAGATTTCTTTGGAATCTCAGCCTGTTCTTTTTAAGTCCAAACAGAACAGAGCTGTGTTTCAAAGTTTCAAAGGAACACTGCTCTTTTCTGTGAATATTAATAAAGAAAAAGACTTCAAACACTATCAAGGGGGCTTAAATCATAGATGAATTCAATCAGGCCATTTTGTTGAATACGTATCCTGAAAGCCTGGTTAACTATCTAGGGGGAAACAAAAATGCTCTTATTTTCTCTTGATGCAGGAATCAAGATGGTAATGAGTTATTAATCTTAAGCAACACTGACAGAAGTAAAGACAAATATTCTTTGTGTGCTTTAAATGTGATACTCAGTATATCAATAATAATAACACTGTCTGTATCTACTCATGCAGTTGTTGTTGTGCCATCTGTGCGCAGTAATACGATTGCTTCACTTGAAAAACACATACTGGTATGGTAGCATTTGCAGGCTAATTGCTACTGTTTGAATCCTGCCATGATTTCATATGTTGTGACTGAGATACTCAGTTCTCAGGACACATTTCTGCTTACTACTGTATCTGTAACCACATTAGCAAAGTCCCTAAAGTTAAAAAGCAAAGTTTTATGTCTTCTTTATAATTATATCAGCTCTTAAAACCCTTCATACAGACAATAGCTCTGTGCAGTGTTCACAAGATTAATCTGGAATGAGGTCAGAGATTTAAGACTTTTTATAGATTTCTAGACAAAAAAGTAATTCTAAGCTTTTTTGTGGTTGTGTAAATGTCTCTTTTCACTTAACACATGAAGCAGAGGCATTTTTTGTTTACATTGTCTTTTAGTGTTTTCGATGATAAATCTTGCATGTGTGGTTATTTATTATTTAAATTAAATTACTTAGGGCAATTGAAGTAGATTTAAGTTCAAGAGCATGTTTCATTATTCACATTCTACGCCGTATCAGATCTAGCAGACGAAAAGGAATTTGTTTACAAGGGTGACGTTGCTGTATGAGGCACGTCCCCACATGCATCAAGAGCAGCCTGTCACTGTCAGGATGTAACCCTGGACCAAAAGTTCACGCCGGCTGGCCATATTTGTGGCAGGGCAGCTGTGGCTTTCTGTGGCCCTTAAGTCTGGGGGACCACTATAAATAAATAAATGGCTTGACAGCAACATTGATCTCTTGTGAAGTTGAACAGGAGTAGAGAGGAGAGAGAAAGCGAGTGTGTAGAAGAATGAGACGGCGACTGCCAGCAGATGAGGTAATTGTGATTAATCACTTTTCTCAGAGGGCAGCGTGTTCAATGCACAAAACAAAAGGAGTGAGATGGCAGGAGCAGCAGAGGTGCAGGAAGACCGCCAGTTGAAGGTGGATCTGCCAATTGATCAGGTAAAACATAATCCCATACTGTAGCGCTACAGTCTGATGAGGTCCTTAAAGCTCGCAGTTATTTAACAGCTTGGCCTGATATCAGACAGGAAATAAGAAGTGATTTGAGTGTGAAAACACAGCACTGCCAGAGAAAAACATAACCCACGTGAACATGGAGAAACATGTAAAGCTCCTTGGCTCCTTGCGGATTTTATTACGCTTTATATGTCAGTTATTATAATTTTTACAGCTCGTCATTGGAGACACACTAAAGTATACAAGTTGATCATCACAACAAGCTGTTTGCATTTGATGTAAAATGAAAGGGTTAGATGAAAGACGTGCCTGCAGCTTTAGTAACCTCTCTCCCCCCCATCGGTGTTCTTCCTATTAAGCTTTACCTTTCTGTATGTTTCCCAACATCAAACGGAATTGCGAATATACTTCTAGTACAGTATAATACTATTTTCTGCTCAGAATAAGGGCTCATGAATGCTCAGCAGAACAAGCTACATAAATATATAAATATTGTAAAATCAATACAGCACTACAGTACAGTGTAAGCCAAAGGGGATCTTGTGTGTTTTTTCCCCCTCCCTGCAGGTTGAGGCCAAGATAGTTGAAGAGGAGTATGAAGATGGGAATCGTTGTGCGAGTTCCTGCAAGGCCTCCCTCCGTGATTCAGATGACTCGAGTACGCAAAGGTCTTCCACCACAGATTCCGGGAAAAATGTAAGTACACTTATTATTAGTTTAATGCAGTTAGTATTTTACATTCAGTTCATTTTTACTTTATTATTATGTCCAATTTTCTCATTTCCTTTTGGATTAGGTCACATAAAAAATGGTCTAACCAGCAATTATGGTAATGATCATTTCCATAATTGTAATAGGGTCACATAGACCTGCTTTCAGCAACTATACTTTCACTTAATGCACGTGTAACATTTTTTTCTGTCTCCATGGTTATTTTGGTGTATTTGCTATTTACTAACACAATCTTTCTAAGGGGCAGAAGGGAACATTAAAAGGTACAGAACACATTACTAGTACTACAAAGGATTTAAATTACCTGTGTCTCAGTTACGTTTTTGTAGGACGCGTTTAGAGCCAAGCTGTCGCCCCAGATACTGCAAATCATGGAGTTTTCATGGTTGAAAAAGAGGCCCATAATAATAATATGCAGTTGTATTTGATGTCTGTCCTTTACTCTGGTTATTGTGCGCATTAACATTGATGAAGTGGCGAGTGAGCTGTGTATACAGATGTTGTTGCACGGATCTGTGGTCCCCCCGAAATTACACTCATTTAAATAAACTTATTTTGCTCTAATAATCCTCGAGGGACAGCGATATGAAGCCGTGTAACTGTGATAAATGCACACAATAGTTGGGTGATATTACTATTCCATGCAATTTCATTCGGCTTTGAAATGAGAAGATATTGAGTCTTATTTAAGCAATCAATAACCTAGAACATTTCGTTTTAATGAAAACTATAATTTTAAGCAGTGGCAATTACACCGTAGGGGAATGTTTTGGTGTGGTGATGATTTTGCTGCCGTATGCACTTTTGCAATAAAGATATTCTTCGTGGGATAATTATTGACTTCTGGGGGTCGGTTATGACCCTGGCTAAAGACCTCATCAATAGCTTAATTCATTACTTATCACTTTTAGTCATACATGAATATTGCTGATTCAGATTTACTATGGATTGGGGTGGAGTGACCATTAGATAATGGGAAATAATAATAATGATAATCCCTGTATGGACTCAGCTATGTTTGCAATAATCATCTTGCCAAGTAGCTTTTGATCTGTCAGCGAATGGAGAGTGGCATAAGATGGAATTTTAGCTGAAAGAACAAATCCTAAGCAAAAATAACTCTAGTTTGCAGTAAAAGTGTGTCAGCACTTTTAATCAGACCGGCTGCCTTACCAAACTTTGATTTGTTTATGTTCATTAATGTTTTATCAGCACTGTACTTACATTATAGTTAAATGCCTTTGTCAAGCCAGAAATAATAGCTCTGCAGGTAAGACTTACCTTACCTAACGTCTAATCATCCTTCATGCATACTCATACTTGTTTTTTCCCACTGAGGCCAAACAAGCTGTCGCTGTCTCGTTGTCAGCAACCTCATCATTTAGAGGGCTGTGAATAATAATGAGGGATAACTGCACTGCTATGACTCATACTTTCAGCTGAGTCCAGACAGATTTCCTCCCACTCCGGTGCTCGTGAAATGCCCCGTGTACTCTGTATACGTGCATGTATATGGTAGATATTGATGACCAAATTCAATTACATGATTACATTTTCAGTTGAAGCTTTAAATGATTTATTGCAGTGCATTTAAATAGTGAATACATTTGCAGACAGTACAGCGGTGAGGCGGTGCTGTGCATGTGGTATTGACCTGTGTGGTCCAGGCCAAGGAAAGAATAACGAGATTCAGCGTCTCTGCCAAGTGGAGATGTCCGCTGAGAGTGAACACAGGCTATCTTGGTGTTAGGAAGCAAAGGATGGCGGGCTGGAGCTTGATGCACATTTATCAAAGCTGCTCTTACACTCACTCCACTGACTTTTGTTGGGCTCTCTGCAGGTTGGCTTTTCCTTTAGAGTGCACTCTGTTAAGGATCTGATTGATTTCAGGACGGCCTACTCTGTCTGTATTGTAGATGTCATACACTTTGAGGAAATGTGGACAAGGGTAGATTTGTACTCACCAGTGTAATATTGTGTTCACAATTATCATTTGTTTTGATTTAACAGTATCGGCTGATTTATCAGCCAGTCGGCTAAGCATTTTTTCTTAATTAATATTGTTGGAAATGCCAATGAAACTAGGTATGCTTGATCAATTGCCTTCCTCTCCTTAAGAATTTTGTGATAAAAAAAATCAAATCAATATTGACCACACCATTGATCCATTCCTCTTCTTTCTCCGTTGCATTTGTCTTTCATCTGTTTTCCTGCTGCTCTTCCATGAAGCTTAGGTTAGCCATTTCATAGACCTTAGTCTCCACATGCAAGGTCAACTATAATCAACTCTAGACAATGTCACCGCCTTGCTTTTCCAGAGAGCTAAGCGGAGGAAGACGACTCCTCTGGGCTTTTAAGGACCTGCAGTATTATACCATTCAATTACTGTTCATTAGACAGTGTACAGCCATTAATCAGACTGAGATGTTCTGCTAGTCCTCAGCGGGGACAATGAACTGGGGAAATTTATTCTGGCTTCCTGTCTAGGCCACTGTTTAGTGGTAGGGAGAGAGATGACACATGGGAGCGCGCTGAAGCTTTCAGTGCTCCACTCTCCCTGGTATCTGTTTTCAAGTGAACTTCTTCACTTCATGCAGCCCCGTCGCTGAATTTCAAAAACACGGGCTTTGTCAGAGATTTACTGCATATGTGGGAGAGTATTACAAATCTGATATATCACCGAAAGGGGAGAAAGCTGACAGATTAACTGATTAGCGCTTCATATGCATTGAATATGACTAGATGATGATATGAAAAGTGGATTTATGTTTTCCAGGAGGCTAAAGAGAGGGAGGCGTCTTCCAAGCTCGGCAGAACACGGTCGCAGATGTCCCTGTTTTTCAAGGGTATGTTCATCAAAGCATAAAGCCTGGTAGGAGATCAGTGGCAGCCCCCATGTTCCTCTCCACAGCACCTAATGCACCCATAAAGAGACCGCTAATACACTCGGCATTACCAGTTCCTCCCTGACATTGCATGTCGCTGGAACCGCAACCACCTCTCAACATCTGGGAGAGCTTTATAGCGTGCTTTATGGAGAGCATGTGGTTGAGTTTTTTTTCTTTTTGACTCCCTAATCTAAGATGACTTATTCTAGTATTAAAGGCACCTGCACATCAAGGTGTGCCATGCTCAGGGCTGGCATTGTTCACCACTCTTTATATTTCCCATGTTGTTTGCAATCTTGAACCATTCAGACAGAATAAGAATTATACATACTTATGTTACCATTAGGAAAAAATTTTTTTAATTGGCTTTACATGAGCTGGCCTTTATATAATTATTTAAAAAAGAACATATCTGAATGAATTATGAAAAAAATGTACCATGAACTTTTTTTCCCCTTTTTATGGAGGTGAGAGTAACCTAGCTGAACCTCAACCAAAACAATGACATTCTCCTTTCTTGGGGAATGTGCCTTGCAGTTGGTTCAAGCAATTTCGTTATAATTGCCTACAGAACATTGGCTTTGATTTTTAGGACCATTCACTGGTTTCACAATATCGTCTTCTGTCCCTGGAGGAAATTCCGAAGGTGACTAAATAAAGCAGGATGCAAATCCCTGCAGGTGGTTATCTCTGTCTGCCCTTCAGTTTGAGGTTCACTCTGTCGGTGTCCAGGAAATCACTGCATCCAGCGCTAACAGCGGGCCTCCTACCTCCCTCATCTGCCATCCATATACACTCACATATGCACAGAGTTATCTAACAGACAGGAGGTTAGATTAAATGTTTCTCTTATACAGCTGCACATGATTTTTGTGTACATACATGCATTCTCTTTCAATTATCTTCATATTGATAGTAGCAGAGGATGCAAGGCAGCCCCGTACACTCCAGTGAGTGATTTCCCTGCAGAATATCAGTGGGCACTACAGGGGGCATTCGAAATAAATCACAGCACGTTATTGCTTGCCGACTTGAGACCCACATCCACATTTTTCTGTCCCTATCACATTGCGTTGTTGTTGCTGTTTATGAATTGTTCTGCATCATTCATACCTCATATTCTCCAGCTGTCACAGTGGATCTGCAGATGACACAGATGCACAGCATAACTGGAGAGTCAGCGGAGGGAATAGGGATGTGATAGGAAATGCAAGTTATCTCTAACAGAATCATACCTGCCTGCCACCTGCTTTGCATCAAAATGTCAATATGTGAACGAGTTTTTATTCTAGAAGGTTTTTTTGGCACAGTTTTCTAAGAGCAAATCAACCATCAAAGCATTTGGCCTGCTTTTTTCCACATTTTTTTTTTAACTCAGGAGAATTGCGTCTTGATGTCCACATATAATAGGAAGAGAAACTGGCTTCAGTTTGGTGGAGATTCTCCTTCAAAAGTTATTGGCACCATGTACAATGGCTTTATAATTTATGAGAACTGTTAGGCCCTCTGACAGAAGTTGTAAAGCATCTTGACTGATTGGGTAGATATAGGATGTGTGCAGTCATGGCATATTGTTGCCTGCATGTGCGTGCGGCATGCACAGTTCCACGGCTTGCTCTGTCACAGATAAATTACTCCACACAGTCAAATTAAGTTGTTGTAAATCACCTCGTGGACCCGAGACTAGTCCTGAGTGACGACCTTTACGCCTATTTGACTTTAACTCTTATTTATGTTAATCACATCTGTATTATGCCCACAGTAAAACTGTGTCATATTTGAAAAGGTCATTGTTTTCTGGAAAAGAATAGAACTGTGACACACACACACACACACACACACACACACACACACACACACACACACACACACACACACACACACACACACACACAAGCTTTGTTTATTAGCACGTGAAGTAAGACTTCAAAATTTTGCATGGTTACCAGTTTTTGTGTTTTTCTTTTTCAAAATCTTTTTACAGGAAGAAAATTGAAACTTCAACATTAGTTGTTTAGATCTGCATGAGATTCACTCCAGAGGTATGCTCTATAAAAACACTATAAATGATTTCATCGATTGAACTTTTAGCTCAAATGCACAAAATATATTGTTGTGTAGTCGAGCTGCATATAAAGCACAGCAGTGTTCATTAATCATACAGCATGTACAAATTATAACAATTTGTGCACGTTACGATTACCTGGTGGGAAATGATTATGAAATCTCCGTACGAAGAGTCTGATTATAGCTTTGGCAGTAAATAATCTCATGTTCAATGGCTGTTAATCCCGTTTACTACAGAATATATAGCATATTCTTCATTTGCTTTTTATTATCTTTCAGTTTTTATTAAATCAAATATCAGACTGTCTCCACTTCCAATGACAAAAAGCAGCCTTTCTTCAAAGTTGGAAGAAAACATATGCTTTTCTTCTTATTCAGCATATACATGTCGTGAGTGGCCTTCAAGAAGCTGCGCGTCTCAATAGCAGTATGTTTTTTTTCTCTATAATTTACCATGGTGAAGAATAAGAAGGACCAAAGGCTGTGTGTTAGAAATCAGCCATTGTGATGTGAAAGAGGCATCTGTGTGTGATCTTCGCAACACTTGAGACGACAGGCTCTGTGAAGTGCACCACTGCCCAGTTACACATGAGCTTTGATTGCTAGTTTGTTCTGTGCGTAGCCCCATAGCTTTGAACTGTGTCTCAAGATGAAAGCCAACCTTGTCCACAGTATGTCCACTGCAGACCGCTGCTGTTGCTTATTTGCTTCAGGCATGATCAAGAGCTTTGGGACTATTCTTTTTTTACAGTTTTTTACCATACTGCATTATGTATAATTTATCATACAGTGGATCCTGAGACAGCACCCTGTCTCCACTCCATTTTAATTTAAAGCCTCTTCTCTCTTTCCGTATCTTGCATTGACTGTGGTCAGTGTATGATACCACTCAGGTATGTCTTTGTTGTGTCCAGTTAACAGACTTTGATATTTGTGGCATTGGAGCATGCCCACAAAAAAAAGAAGAAAAACTCAGTTCCTTTTCTCTCTCTCTCTCTCTTGTCCTCTCTTTGCAACCCTCTCTCTGTTTCTCAGAATCATAGAATACAGTGTCATACTGCTAAGGACCAGACGTCCTCATTCTCTTCTGTCTCAAGAAGCCAGCTGCTCATGTATAAGATGAAACAGTGTTATAAACCAAATAAAAATGTCTTTTCTCCTGACAGCCCCGGCGTGAATATATGGCCTCTTATTCCAGTGAATATATTGCATAATTATGTATGGTTATGAATATTACATGGAGCCTCACACTGGGTGCATGGTAAGACGCCTAATTGCAGAGTTTAATTATTAAGAAGCAAAGGTCCTGAGCGGGCTTTGCGAGAAGCACTTTTGATAAATTATTTTTTGCAGTTTTCTGATGAATTATTTTGGGGGCTTGTGTCTAATCAGCGGGCATAGTGGACGGCGTAACTGCTCTTGAGAGGGACTTATCTTCCCATGGAGAGGAATTACTATGCTGATTAAATCCACTGAAATCAACTAATAACTTAATGATATTGGAGTGGCCCAAAAAAAAAAAAAAAAAGAATCATTGCCTCTCATAGTGCTGGCCATGAATAACACAAGGGCACAGTGATGGGTAGAATGAGGGCTATTGCTGTTGACCTTGGGGCACAGCTTTAATATTTCTCTGTAACACGAGGGAGGGAAAGTGTGTGATGGTATGTACTAAAGCAAACCTCATTTTAAATAGTGTCATAGTGCTTTACTTTATACTTCATATAAAGCACTTCAAGGAAAAAGTCCAGAGAGGCTGACTAAACAAGGAATAATAAACTAGATCACCCTCAAGTACTGCCAAATCCACAAAGCACAGTTGCTTGTGTAACTACAGCACTTTGCTACAGCCACATCTTCCTCTCCAGCATGTACTATAGCTTAGACACCCACACAGTGTTGCTCAAGTGTCATATATTCACTTCAAATGCTCACTGCATTGAGAAAAGTTTAAGGGTTGACCTCAGTTTTACGTCAAAAGACATTTCAAAAATGGATAAAGCAGACTTCTCCGCATGTTACCTCAAATACAGAACTATTGCACTTGATGTATTCTTCCATAAAAGCTAATGGCTGTAATGCTGACAGTAAGAGTCACTGACCCACTTAATCACAGTTCTATATCACGCTGTGATGTTGCGAAATTTAGTTCACTATAAATGTGGGATAAAATGCGAGGGAATAGCGGTGCTCCTTCCTTTCACCTCCTACAAAATGAATACTGGTCTAGCACATATGAAAGGGAGTGCAGCTGCTTTTCTTCAGATAGCACAAATATGTGAATAATTGATCGATATTGATGTGAAAATCACCTAAGTGTAACCAGGAGCTGTTTGTTTGGAAGCCTCCCATGGAGGGCAGGAGTCTAGCCATCTGCCAATAACACGTCAGTCATCGTGCGCGGCGGGCACTCTGACTGATTCACAGAGCTGAACAATTGTTCTCAGTGTGATGTTTCTGTAAATCACACATTCTGCTTTTAACCAATGCTTGACGCTTGCTTTGAATGTTTCAGGTTGGTTTCAGTCAGGGGTCCGCAATGCTGTCTGGAAGTAATGGGTATATACCGATTCGGTTTTCTAGTTGTTATATAATTGCAGTGATTATAAATTATAGATTTGTGTTTGCATTTAATCTATAGAACTCAGCGAAACAGATGATGCATCTACATACACAATGTAATACTCTGCAAAATTCTTGAGCCATGCCTCACTACACGGAAAGTCAGTATATAAGGAAAGGAAGAGTTTGTACAATCTAATGAGCTTGAAAGTCAGTATTGGGTGTTCTTTATCTCAACTCCCTTAGGCAGCTTTTGTGTAATTTCTTTGAGTAGTCTTCAGGAATAGTTTTCCAGGCCTTTTGTTCTGTTCTCTGTCAAGATAATCCCAAACTGCTTCAATAATGTTGAAGTCTGAGTTCTGGGGAGGCAAGTCCATGACTGATTGAGTTTCATTGTGTGTTTTTCAAACCTAATATACTTACTGTACTGACAGTGTGTTTGAAATCGGTGTCATGCTTAAATCAGACACGTTCCAGATGATGTTGCAGGGTGGATAAAAATCTGATGGTACTTTTCTGTCCTCATAATTCCAATCCAGTCTTGACAACCCTCCCCCCAACACTGGCCTCCTTAATGACCAAAAAGTTCTCATTTGGATTCATCACTACATGATACCTTTGCCACTGATTTTTCACTCCAGTTTTTCTGTAATTTGGTTTACCTTAGCCTTTTCTCCCTGTTTTTTTCTACCTTCAGAGGGCTTCTATGTAGGCCTTTGCAAACAGTAGATGCAAAAACTTTCATTTGTCCTCCACTCGTCCAATTTCCTCAAACCTTGTTAAGAACACATTGCACACCATGCTGAGATATGCCACGTTGTTGGCTAATTATTATATGCTTTTGCTTTAGGTTCATCTCTTGAGTTAGATGTCTTTTTATGCTTGACTCATATAGGTCAGTGCTAAAGTATGTGACATAAAAAACACAAAAACATTTCTTTAAAAATGGTCAGGTACAAGGACTGAACTGAAAATGAGTGAAAAAGCAGCCATATCATGTCCACAGAAAGGCTTTTAAAGACTTTGAAAAAGCTTTAATACTCATCATTACTTTTTACAAGAATTACAAGAAAGTCTGGCTCCTTGGATATAAAATATAAAGAAGTGAGGGATGGTTCAAGACGTTTAGACAATACTGCACGTGTTGCTTTTTAATCTTTACCCAGCTAAATTAACGTATTTGGAAACAGTGTAAATGTAGCATATGGTAGTTGTGCTACTTGTACAACAGCCTTGTATGATAAGGTGTGGGGCAGCTTTGTGCAGGTAAAAAGTTACTTTAGTGCCTTTTTCCTAGTTACACGAAAGCTATTAGCATTTGTATCAGAAACGTATTTGAAAATTGCTGAAGGTCATTTTATACAGAGGCACCATGTGCCTTGAAACCTGCACAGATAGTTGGTGTTACAAAAAGGCCTTTTTACAGCTGACATCACCCAGAGCCACCAGGAGGCCACTTTTCCCTCACTCTGTTCTGTAGCTACCCACTGTCTAAAGCTAATGGCTGGTAACACAACTGAAAGCTCTCAGTCTGATAAGATAATATAGAGTCAGAGAGAAAGCAAGCGAGTTTAAGAGCGCTATATAAGTGGGATATATATTCAGACTATTCAACGATGAGGAAATGCTCTAAAAATAAAAAATAAAAAAACAAATGGAAAATGCTGCGATGATATCACTGAGCCCGGAATGCTGACGGCAGTGTTTTGAGTCACATCCAGATGGCTATGAAGCAGGGATGACAGTGGGAGCTGGGACTTACTGCTGTCCTCTCACCTGATGTCATGCTTAATAAAATAAATGAGGATGACATTATGCTTTGCAAACAGATTCATGAATTATAGAGCTTCGTTAAAAAAAATTACCTGTATTTTTATGATCATGACGTTCAGTGTTTACAGCTATTGTGAGTCACTGTCAAAGCAAGTTAGGTTGGCAAGATGCATTCATAGATTGTATGGGTGCATCTTACAGACGCAGATACCTGCTAACAAATAAATAAAAGAAAATTCACTGGAGAGTCTCCAACGCAAGTCCTGTTATTTGTTATGTAACTGAATTAAAAATGTTCCAAGAGACAGCAACATCATAGAAAAACAATCCTGTTCAGTGACTTGAATTGCTATTCCTGGCACACTAAAACAGTCCACCTAGCAGCCTGTTCCACTTTACATAAAAGAGGCCACATCCCTGATAAAGATTATTGTTTTTTGTGTGTGCTAGGATATAAATATGTTTATTTCTGGTCTAAAATTGGCTTAATTTTTCTCATCCTTTCACTTACTAACTTGGTCCCTCCATCAGCTCTGGCATGCCCCACTACCAGACATACTTTCATACCATATGCTCTCATCTGTTACTTTGTTGCAGGCATATACATTCAGCACAAGGTTTAGTTTATAGCCAATCATATGCCACTGGCTTTTACCGTCTATAGTGAACGAGGGAAGCGGCTTTCAGCAGCTGTGCAATCAGGCAAGCTGAAAAACGAAAAGATCTAATCTGTGCAGAAAGGCGAAAACAAGTGTATAGTTCCCGGGACTCTTTCACACCAGTAGTCTGCTCATTCACCTTTTTGCAGCTCCCTGCCACCACCAGCAGCGTGCCCATACATATGTTTACAAATTTGTTTTTACATTTCTATTTTTTTCTAGTTTCCCTACTGCTTCTTTTTCATTGCTTCTCTCTCTCCTTTCTCTTCCCCCCTTTGTCTTTTCCTTCACTGGCTGTCTTTAGTAAGATGGATGTGTGCATTCCCAGGGCAGATGGCTTTGTTGTTAGTCCGTGTACCCGGCTAGCACTTTAACACCCAGCCTCCTTGTCTGGCCTGACGGGCCATTGCCTGGGGAAAGAACTCTACCAATACACTGTGCAGAAAACGTGTGTCGTGCAGCTAACTGCATGGGTGCTCATACCTTTTTTGTTACTGGTAGACCCTCACAGTCTGTGCACCAGATACACACATAGATTTGTTTTAGCACGGTTGTTGGTATATAAAAACTTCAGTATATAGTACACATGCACTATGCAGTAGCTTGTAAAATAACTTTTAATAGAAATAACTTGAAGTAAACATTTTCTGTATGACTATCAGTTTCCCACGTGCTTGTGGGGGAATTTTAGCTTACTATTCTTTATAACGTAGCCTTAGTTCATTGATGTTTGTGGACATCTGTTTATGCCAAGATCAGTTGAGGTCAGTTTGAGGTCTGAACTTTGACTGGGCCATTGCAACAACTTTATTATTTACTTTTTTGGCCATTCTCCACCACCCTGCTTGATGTGTTAGACTCAGTGACCACCTCTCCACCACCTTGCTTGACAGTTGGTATGAGGTGTTTAAGCCGATTTGATGCATCTGTTTTTCTCCAAATGTGGTGCTATACATTATGGCACAGCATCTCCATGTTGGTGTCATCTGTCCAAAGGACATTTCGTGGGTTTATTCAGATGCAACATTACAAACCTAACATGAGCCATGCTTGTTTTAGAAAGAAAAGGCTTTCTCATGGCGAAGCTTCCAGACAAGTTTCTCTTGTTCAGTCTTTTTCTAATTGTGCTGTCATGAACTTTAACATTTAACATGCCATCT